GGAGGAACCCTGAAAGCATGGCCCCTGGATTCTCTATCAGCCCAGAACTAAAACAATTTCCGAGGCCAACTCTTCAGACAGGGATTGGACTGGACACTGTGGAATAAAGTGATACTCATGAGGAGTGTGCCTCTTAGCTCAAGTAGATACAAGACACTAAATGGGCAGCTTCTGTCAGGGGGTGAGATGGGAAGGCAGAGAGGGTCAGGAGCTGGTTGAATGGACATGTGGAAACGGGTGGAAAGGGGAGGAGTGTGCTGTCACAGCAAGGGAGAGCAATTATGGTCACATAACAATGAATGTATAAATTTTTGTATGGGAGAGTAACTTGAAATGTAAACTTCATTTAAACTTCAACAATAAAAATAAATAAAAAATAAAATAATGACGATGGGAGAGAAGGGCTGGACGCCACACTAATGACAGATCATCTTTTGGGTGAATTCAGCAAGATGAAAATGGTTCTTCATGTGTCATTATACTGCAGGGGGAAAGATTCTTATTTGTCCTATTACATATGAGGAACAAAAATAAAATTCATCTAACAACATATGAATGGATAAACAAAATGTCCTGTATCCATACAATGGAATATTATTCAGCCACAAAAAGGAATGAAGTTCTGATACATGTTACAAAATGGATGAACCTAGAAAACACGGTAAGTGAAAGAAGTCAGACACAAAAAGGAAAATATTATATGATTCCACTTATAGAAGATACCTAGAAGAAGCAAATTCCAAGAGACAGAAAGTAGATGAGAGGTTGCCAGGGGCTGGGGGGAATGGAGAATTGAGGAATTATTGCTATTTGATAACCCAATATAGAACCCATGGAGTATCTGTTTGAGGTGATGAAAATGTTGTGGAAATAGAGGGTGGTGATGGTTGTACAACATTGTGAATGTAATTAATGTCACTGAATTGTACACTTAAAAACGGTCAAAAACAGCAAAATTTTACATTCTTTATATTTTACTACAATAAATTTTTTTTTAAAGTCTGCCTGATTTTTGTGCTCTTTTTGAAGTAATAACTAACTCAAATAACTGCCACAAATGTTATATGAGGTAATATATATGAAAAGTGCTGTAAAAATCCCATGTAAATGTCAGCCAGGTTAGTAGTGCCCACCCCCTAGCTCCAGGCCAGCATTCTTGTCCCATTTTGACCTCTGTGAAGCCGGCCTCCAGGCAGGCCACTCATTCCACTGGGTAAGGGACCAGACAATCAGTGCACAAGTGGTCAGAGCAGGGGGCCCATCCAGCCCGGCACTTACTTTCTCAGCACGGCGATCTCATTCTCTATGCTGCTTTCTTTGCCCTTCAGCGCCTTCTTAGGGATGCACTTGACGGCAAAGAGTTTCCCAGTTGCCTTCTCTTCCGCTAAAACCACCTCAGAAAATGCCCCACTGTGAACAAAGAGGGAAAAAGAAAAGCAGCTTAAGAGTTCGGAGTTTTTTGGTTTCATGGCAGCACCTCCCAAGTTTCAGTAATAATAATGGGGGGCATAATAGCAAACATTGCAGCTACTTTTCATCCAGCATCACGCCTACCAAACTTCTTTATGCAAAGATATTACATGCATGCAAATATGCCCTTGTGCAAAGGGACACGTGGGTGTCTACACGAGTTTGACCACCTCCCTGGGCCACCCACCACCCCTGCTGGACAGCTTGGTAACAGTCACTTGGGAGCAAACCAAACACTCCTAGAAAATTTTCGCGCAGAGAAAGACTTATCCATCTGAAGGTGTTAGTGCCTCCACTGCTCCCCAGGTAGACTAGAAAGTAATACCAACATTTCAAGATTCCACACAGGCCCTTTCATTCAAAGAAATTTCAGTGCACTTTACAAACATTTAATTAATTCTCACAATAGGTAAGAATGTAATTACAGTGTGAGTTGGTGTAACACATGGTATTGACACAGGGTAATTAATTGGCAGGGGTATGCAAGTCTTCAATAAGCAGTATGTTTCTTTTTAAACCAACCAAACAAAAAACCCACACAGCACTGATGCCTGAGTGGGGAGACGTGCCAGCTTGAGAATATGGGTTTAACTCAGCAAGGGCAGAGCAGCAAACTGAACACTTAACCAGGGCACATGGGACTAGAGTCCTTTTCTCTGGCCTGAGAGGCGCCCTATGGTCAGCAAGCCCAGAGCCAGCTCTTCAGTGCTTGCCTCCTGACCGCACCTTGTCACCTCCTACTGGCCGGCAGGCACCTGGGTCCTGTGCTTTGGCTGGGAGCACAGCATCCCTGTTGTTATGGTGGTGGTGGTGATTAAGTGCCATCAAGTTGATTTTGACTCACAGCGACCCCATATGACACGAGCAGAACTGCCCCATAGGGTTTTCTAGGCTGTAATCTTTACGGGAGTAGATTGCCAGGTCTTTGTCCCACACAGCCACTGGGAGGGTTCAAACCACTCAGTGTGTTTGAACCACCAACCTTTCGGTTAGCAGCCAAGCGCTTAACTGTTGTGCCACCAGGGCTCCTTAGAATGTCCCTGAGGACTCTGCAACAAAACCCAGCTCCTCAATGGCCCACTCCAGACCCTCAGCAACTTGGGTTCTGTGCATATGGGCCAAGGGAAGCACCATGACCCACTGAATCATTGCCTGTCGCTAGACTTCTTGGAGTGCCTCTGATTTCCTCAGAGAGACCAAAAACATAGAGAAACTCAGTTTACAGGTGGTGATGTATGCTTATAATGTAGTGATCTCAAATCACATATGTGTGAAACATGTAATGATAATGTTAAGCTGTAAACAACCTAAGACAAAACAACTTCTCTGTCATAAACAATTTCTAATACTGTAATAAGCTACCTTGCTGTAGACAACTGCTTGGCTGTGATATGGTGTGGCATAGCCCTTAGCTGATCTAAATTAAGACACCCCTGATCATGAATCTATGGTGCAAGTTACCCTGATACAATGTAAGCTAGACAACCCCTAATAGACCCTCACCATACAAGACCAGAGAGACTAAACCACACAAAGATCCTAGGCTTTTGCTTTCCCAATGAGAGCAAGGCAGAACAACACTATCAGTCAAGTCTCTGACCGTCTCCAAAGACTCAGGCTTTTGCTGGTGGCTCTATAGGAGGTTCTGTCCTGCCGCCACCAATCTCGGACTCCAGCTACAAGGGACCTCCCCAGAGGACAAGCCATCGGCCAAGCCTTCCTCCCAAGATGACTCGTTAATGGTAAACACCTGAAGGCTAAAAATTTGGACTTTAATTATCAGACTAACTCTACCCTACCCTGATACTCTAGGTCTTGGGGCTTCACCTCTACGCTCTGCCCTGATTACCTTGCGATAAACTAAATGAGTTTATACATAACAAATCTGAGTGTTTCTCTGTTTATTTTAAAATAAAATCCCACAAGGCACAGGTGGCACACTAAACATGGCCTCTATAAAGAGCAGTGGAGTCCTGACATATGCTACAACATGGATGAATCTTGAAAACATTAGGCTGTGTGAAATAAGTCAGTCAAAAAAGGACAAATACAGTATGAGCTCACTTATATAAAATAGGCAAATATATACAAACCAAAGCTTATTAATGGTTACTAGGGGTGGGAGGGAGGGAGAAAGAGGAAATTATTGTTTAGGGGGCACTGAGGTTATATCAATGGTGGTGGAATAAATTGGAAAAGGACAGGGACAATGGTAGCAGAACATGAAGACTGTAATCAATGTCACTGAATTATACATGCAAAACTTGTTGAGTTGGCAAATGTTCTGTTATGTACATTTTTACCACAATTTAAAAATAACAGACTGCTACACAATTAGGGATTAGAGATGAACTCTTCCTGTGTCAAAAGCAAAGCACTGAGGTGCCAATGTCATTCCAATACCAGAGCCTGAGGGCTCATTTTCTTCAGTCAATATCAAAGAGATGCCTAAGAAAGGAGAGTATAATTTTCCCTCCCTTTCCTTCCCCGACAGTGACACACAATCTGTCACAGATCAAAGGAAGAAAAATATATATTTTTAAAATCCTTTCCAGAGAGAAGAATTCATTCCCACTTAGGACAATTAACTGTGAATCTTCAGGAGAATGTTCCTACTGGAACATTAACTCTTATGAGAGAAGCTCATCTCTCTTCAAGGTCTGTAACTAATTATACAAACCTGAGGGGCAAAAGATGGCAATTCTACAAACTAACTGAATGGAAAATGTCAGAATAAAGATTTTCTGCCCAAATCCACAAAATTATTGGTTGAGTAGGATTCTCCCCTCAGAATACCACATGCTTTCACAAAGAGTCTAAACCCAGAACTAGTATTTTACAATAGCAATGATGAAATATAAATAAATAATGCTCACAACAGAGCTATCACAGAGAGATATGTGGAATCAGACATTCCCGATGACACTTGACGTTAGGGATTGAATTGTGTCCCTCAAATCATATGTGTTCAAATCCTAATCCCTGTACTTGTAAATATGATCCTATTTGGAAATGGGAGTTTTCTTTTGTTATGTTAATGAGGCCATACCAGCGTAAGGCAGGTCCTAAACCTAACCACTTCCGAGTTATAAAAAGAGCAGAATAGACACAGAGACACACACAGTGGGGAGACAGACACCAAGGAATGCCAAGGAACATCAGCAGTCACCAGAAACTAGGAGAGAGGCTCAGAGAAGGAACTGACAAAGCCAAAACCTTGATTTGGACGTTTAACCTCCAGAACTGTGAGAAAATAAATTTCTGTTCTTTAAAACCACCCACTTGAGGTGTTTTTGTTACAGCAGCCCTAAGTAACTAAGACACTTGGATACTGCCAACTGCTTTCACCAAAGAAAACCACAATTTGCAACAACTTCAAAGAACAATCCTGAGCCTATGAACTTCCCTCTATCTCAGGGATAGACCAAGGTGGATTCCCCTCATGATGAGAGTTCTGAGATGGAAGAAGACCCTGAACAAGTAGATATGTGCTCCAAGGAGGGGAACAAGGATTATACTAGACAAAAATACATTAGAGGAAAGACCAGGTTTCTAGTGCCATGGGTGACTGTATACCAGATATTATACTCCTTCATTTGCAGTTTCACTATTTGTCACTTTGGTCCCTGATGTTGAGGACACTATGGTGTTTTCACGCTTCAGTCTGTTGGATTTATTAAGTCCTTTTTTCAGAAGGAGTAGAAGCCCTTTAACAGCAGTGGCCAAGCCACCAGGGCTTGGTCCTAGAACGGCTCTCAGACCTCTCCCTCTCTCACTCCACTTTGCATCCAACCAGGCTCCTCCCTCCTCAGAATCTGCATGGGTGATAACAGACTCTTGCCAACACAGAGGAGATGCTTTGATTAAAAGAGGCCTCAATAAAAACAAAAAGAAACTATAAGAACCCTTTAAGAACTATCTTGATATGGGATCAAATTGACAACAGCAACTTGAAAGACTGGATGGGAACCTTATGGGACAGTGACTTTATTTATATTAATGAGTTTATGTTAACAACTCAGAATGGAGGGTGAGAATGATTGCACAACTTGAAGACTGTAATCAATGTCACTAAATGGTGCATGTGGGGGAAAAAAAAAAAAAGAAGATGAAGAAGAACCTATAAGAAAAAAGAGCTTCCCTGGCTCCATGGATAATTCCCTCTGTGGAAAACAAGTTGTTTTCCGCATGAAATGACCCTTTGCCCGGTGAGAGAACAGTAAGTGGACCGAGAGGTCTCAATCACAGCCATTTCTGCTAGGCTGCTGCAGGAAGTTAACACCAATGTGAGACCAAGGGATTCTCTGCCTTTGTCCCTGACCGTGGAAGGGAGGGACTATGTGTGACCCCAGGTGAGAGCAGCAAAGTGGAGCACAGGCTTGCACCAGGCTTCCTGAGCTAAGCAGTCAGGGCCTTGACAAAACGAGCAAGACCACAAGGCACCTATGAAAGGGCCCAGGGCAGGCCCCAGATGGCCAAGGCCGCCCATGATTCCAGAGAACTCCATCAACAAACAGTTCCTGAGTACAGCCTCAAAGTCAAAGCTACAGTCGCATTCTCTCAGACTGGAAGTCCACTCGGTTCTACTCAATCAGTGGCTCTGTCTGGGGATGGATACACTGAAAATATTTGATAAATCTTTTTACTTATTACCTCTCTAAAGGAGAGAGAAATCACATGAATATTGTAGGGTACCAATTGATGTGTACCACCTGATATTTAAAAAGCAGTTTGACATATATTGGAGTCACTGGGTGGTGCAAATGTGTAATGACTTGGCGCTAACCAAAAGGCTGGAGATTCGAGTCCACCCGGAGGCACTTGGTGATCTACTTCCAATAAATCAGCCGTTGAAAACTCTAGGGAATACAGTTCTACTCTGACACACATGTGGTCGACATTGAGTCTGGGTCAACTCAATGGCAATCGGTTTGGCGTAT